TTATGGAATGAAGTTGGACATACTCAATTGGGGATGGGGTTCGTTTCCGGGGCAGAATTCGAAAACCATTCAGTGTATTTGATCGAAACTTGGCATTCATATGGATGCGACCGTGGATGATCTTTTGCGGGTAAACAATGTATGCTTCTTAAAGAACATTCAACTGTTGACTCATTACATACAGAATTGCACATTTACTAGTGGTTACTTTACAGACAGCTGCCGGGGGGATATGACATCTTTCTGATGACTCTTGTTATGTTGCGTTTTGACTTGGGGATTCCAAAATGCACCCAAAAATATTGATAACACCACCAGGCTTCACTACATGCTAAAACTCGTATCAATTTATGGTTCCGTGTATGTTACCTATTTGCTTAAAACCAATTGCGTTTCTTTTGCGTGTGAGTATATAACCAGGTGCATCGATGGCCCTATTCTAAAACGAGACTAAGATATTTTTACAATGAGCTGGGACGAGACTAAGATATTTTTACAATGAGCTGGGATTGGTATTTGCGGTGTAGCATTAACATTCCTCAACATGTCCAATTACAACCTCTATCTGGCCTGGCCCATCTACTACATTGTGAAGTCCTGCTCCAGCGTCCTACCCTGGACAACTTGTGGCAACAGCTGGAACACCGACCTGTGTGTGGAAGGTGTGAATACAGCCTACAACAGTAGCATGACAACCCTGTCAGTCAATAGTACAGATACAACCACGGCGGCTGAGTCGTGGGAAAATGTGACTTTGGCGCACACATCTGCAGAGGTATTCTGACAGTAAGAGATCAACCATGTTACATACCACCAAGACAAACTTAGAAGACTCATGTTTCGTTCATATAAAGAATGCAACCAAGATGATTTTTTAGTCAAATCCGTCAAATCCGTCACAGGCGCCTGTGATCTGTCGCGAACAATGCATTTGTTTGTACTCAACAACAAAAGTTCCTGTGACACCAATATTTTAGTTTATTTTTCAAACAAGTAAAGTTTGGTTTTCAATATTGCAGTACATGTATGGAATCAAGTCACAAAAACGCAACTGCTACAGAAAAGCATGCATTCAATGCAAAAGTTGACTTTTATGCAAGCCCCATGCATTTCACTACCCAAGAATGGGTATAAAAACATGTGCGTTAACGGGATTCCATATGCCTTGTTTACCATCGTTCTGATAACCACTCAGAAAAACAACAAAATTACGCAATTATTCAACATTACGAAACGCCACGCCTGTCCGAAAATGAGCGTCTGCGAGCCACTGGCATGCTTGAAGCAGGATCGAGACAACATGATGTTGCAAGACAATTTAACGTCCATAGAAACACCATTTGGTGTTTATGGTTGGCAACAGACGAATTCAGTCAGAGACCATCCTCGGAGTGGCAGGCCACGCGTAACAAAAAATCGGCAAGACAACTGGATTCGAACAACACACCTACGAAATCGATTCCAGCCACCAACAGTGACTGCACGAAGCATCCCTGGCCTTCGACGAATATCTTCACAAACCGTACGTCGTCGCCTCAGATATGCAGGGATTGTCGCCAAAAGACATCCCATTTGGACAGGAAACCACCGTCAAGCACGTCTACAGTGGTGAAGACAGCGTTTACGCTGGACGGCCATGTAGTTGGGACAAGTTATATTCAATGACGAGTCTCGGTTTTCACCTCAGCCACAGCGATGGACAGATTCGAGTGTACCGACGTCGAGGTGAACGTTACGTCAATCATTGTGTCATGGAAGAAGATTGGTTCGGGGGCGGCAGCGTTTTAGTATAGGGTGGGATTACAGCAAGACAGAGGACCCGTTTGATAGTGGTAGAGGGAAGTCGAATCCATCGACTATATGATGTCCATCCAGCCTGGCTGATCTCAGACCAAACTCTGAGACTGAACTCTAACTTTGTGATAAGGATGTGTGCCACCGCAAAGGACATGTGTGATACAGGACTGTGCCACAAATGTGGTCTTGTGTATCGTGATCCAGTGACACATGCAGTTGTTGAGTGTGAATGTACGTGTGATATTCGGGATCAGCTCTGGATGGAGTTGATCAATATCGGTGATGTTGACTTTAGCTGCTACCTGCATGGTATGGACTCCGCAAAGCTCACCGAATGCCTGTTGTCTTGCAGAACAGATTACAGACTATGTGACAAAGATGCTGATGACTTTGCAAGAGTGTGTGTTAAATATGTCAAGCCAATGTTTGAAATGGTGTTCAACTAACTCTCAATATATCAGCATTACCATTCTGCATATTTAATGCAAAATAACATGTTGTTCTGATAAATGTTCATCTATTATTTTCTGCTTTTCTTGTACTCTTCTTTATGGAGGAATAATAGGTTATATATATAGGGTGGGATTACAGCAAGACAGAGGACCCGTTTGATAGTGGTAGAGGGAAGTCTTAATGGACAGCGCTACCGTGACGAGATCATCGGCCCTGTTGTTCTTCCGTCGTCATGGCCCAGGCATTACCTTTCAACATGACAACACCCGGCCTCATATTGCTCGACTTGTTCAGGATTCCCTTCAACAAAACAACGTGAATGTGATCCCGAGGCCGGCTCGCTCCCCTGATCTCTCACCAATCGAGCGCATATGGGATGCGATAGATCGGCGCCTTTGACGACAACCACATGTTCCACGGACGTTCCAGGAACTTCGAAACATGCTCCAGCAGATATGGACAGATATCCCACAGGACTTTGTGCGACGCCTGGTCCATTCTATGAGACGAAGATGTGTTGCTTGCATCGCAACTAGAGGTGGACACACACGCTATTAATTTGTAAATTGACATTTTGGCATGTTCATGCATTTTTTTTATGAAATCACGCATTTTTTAAAGTCAGTATGTCAGTAAACCATTTGAACACTTACAGGAGTCTTTTTATCTGTTGCAAACCGAAATTGTTTCAGATTTGATAAAAAACATAACTTTGCTTTAAATCTTATTCAATGTCACAGGAACGTTTGTTGTTCATTATAGATTAATGACACTCGGTTTGTATCCTATGACTGGTATGGTGGAAGGTGTTTTCACGCCTTTAATTGTTTTGTTTGACTTTCGGGTACAATGTACAATGAGTGTCTCTACTGGTTGGACGACGTGGGGTCTGTGCAGTGGCGAGTAGCTGGATGTCTGTTTCGTTCAGTTGCTATTATCTTTCTGTGTCTTATCCGTGGAGTCAAGTCTTCTGGCAAAGTAACTTGGTCTAAATCACTTACATAATTGTTCGTCCAATAGTGCTTTTCGTTTTAGCGTAGTGTATATTTATCGTTAACGTAGTATACAAGAAACGATATCATGTATTCACTGTATCCTTTGAAACTAGTTGGTTGGTTTGTTGTGTAACGCCGCACCTAGCAATATTCCAGCTATATGACGGCGGTCTGTAAATAATCGAGTATGGACCAGACAATCCAGTGATTGATATATGAGCATCGATCCACGCAATTTGGATCGATGACATGCATCAACCAAGTCAGCGAGCCTTACCACCCGATCCCGTTAGTCGCCTCGTACGACAAGCATAGTCGCCTTTTACGGCAAGCATGGGTTGCTGAAGACCTATTCTACCCCGGATCTTCACGGGTACCTTTGAAACTGACTTTGCGTGTGTTGGTGATTCCGAGAGATCAATCAGAGATTATTAATAACATTAACCACCTCTGATTTTCATTTAGAAAGACAACCTACTCAAAACATTCACCAATGCCACTTCAATCAATATCTTCGCCACAACAAAGAGTTTATGTCTATATTTGGCATGTAGGAATAGATATAAATGTATAGTGTTTTCAAATTAGAGCTAAATTAAAGAGAGCTAAATTCGCATTCGTTGCCAAATACAAATTAACGTCAACCGGGCTCTTCATTGAAAATATATATGTTTATCTCCTAAAAAGTATGTCCATATTGAACATGCTTCTTGTAATCAGAAGATAAATAAACAATTAATCAAAATCAGAACACGGATGTAAATAGGTTTCTGTTTATTCTTTTTATACCTCAACAAAGTGTAAAACTGTAACAAACACATATGCTAGTAAAAATATTGAAATGTGTGTATATGAGGCGGCACAAAAGAAACCATGTGGATATACACATACGTGTGTACCTGCCTATTTTTGTCAGCAGGAGTTTGGTCTAACTCTGCTTTAAGCAGTATTTCAGTTATATCAGGGTGGCAACTTCATGCGGGGAGGGAGTATGGTTTTACGCCCCTTTTAGCAATATTCCAGCAATATCACGGCGGGGACACCATGAATGGGCTTCACACATTGTACCCATGTCGGGAATCGAACCTTGGTCTTCGGCGTGACGAGCGAACGCTTTCACCACTAGGCTATCCGACCGTCCGCTTCGTGTGGGAGGAAATATAAAATATAAAACATGAACGCCAGAGAATAACCAGTGATGACACTAGGTAGTTGAAAAATGTTCGTTTTGCAGCACAGCGGGGTACTGTTTTATTGTCTCAGCCCAATCATTTGTTTTGTAGTTGACACAGTTTTATTCATAAGTGTTTCTCAGCTTGTGACGAAACGAGGGGACTTCAGTCCATAAGCAGAAACATCCGCCATTCTATTAAATATAGAAAAAACAGAGTCAAGATATTCGTGCTTGTCAAAACTCCTTTAATACTTAAACACCTGATGAAATCACTTGTTTATATATAATTTACCGTGTATACAGCTCAGGATGTCCAGTAGAGACATAAGGTCAAAAGTGTCGATAAGGGAGTTTTGACAAGCACAAAAAAACTGGCCTCTGGATGGATATATATATATATATATATATATATATATATATATATATATATATATATATATATAATAAAATAATAAAGTCCACGTTAGTCCATCATAGTCCATATATAGTAAACTACGGTTATAACGAACACGCTTATAACGAACTAACGGATATAACGAACTAACATTTTAGTCCCGACTATATGCTATAGTTATGCTGTTTATATGCGTATAACGAATTAGGGTTATAACGAACTAAAATGAGTAGTCCCTTTGAGTTCGTTATAACCGTAGTTTACTGTATATATATATAGTGTGTGTGTGTTCAGTAAAAGCATGACTACAAACAGTGACGTTTAAATCTTGCAAGATATTGATATAATGCAGGATTCCAGTTAGGCCACTTCTGTGGGGACAGTGATGTTTTAGACAGTACAGTGGTAAAAGCTGTGACCTGGAAATGAAAGCTTCGTGGATTTCAACTGGATAAAGGACTCGGTCCGATAATATATCGGCAAAATAATACAGATTTATACAGATTTTGCGTGCCTTACGAAAATAACGTCACACCAAAGAAATCTTTTTTCGAATATTTGCGACGCCTCTGATGTAATGACAGCGAAAACCTCGTACTGGCTGCTTAATCAGACTGGAATAACCATGGACGAAGTACTAAATGCAGGCATTCTCAAAAGGTCAAGAAAGTTTGCTTTTGTAAGAATGTGCCTATGCATTATAGAGAACACACAATACAGTGATATGTAACCTATAACACACTGATAAGTGTTAAAAAAAGCAAACAAACACGTTCCATAGCCACAATAAATGCATATACTTTCTTTTCAATTACCCAGAAGTCCCACGTTCATATACGCAGAATTTCCATAGTCTTCTATGCAATTGGGATCGATGACATGCTTCAACCAAGTCAGCGAGCCTGACCACCCTATCCCGTTAGTCGCCTCATATGACAAGTAATACAAACAGACCACGACAGCATGCCCTCTGCTGAATGATATGTAGAATTCGTGTATGATCCTTTCTCTGCTAAGTTAAATTACATGCGCCTGAAACACATTCTTAACAAAATGATGAATGGATTGTGACAGTGAGCTTGAAAACAACGGAAAAAGGAGTTGAGTTTTTTAACACTTTGAGAGCGAGTTTGTTAAATATTGTTTTCGTCGCCATGTCCATACATCCTTTTTTGTGCTGGAGTGAGGTCTGACAAAATGTTGGTCGATGGCATGGACAGTCGTCTTCGGGATCGAGATGTGAGGTTATGCCCCTGACTGTAACCTCCTCATCTGCATACGACATGACTAAGAATCTTTCTTCTTCCGATTTTGAGCCTGGACAAGATTGTAATATGCTCCTTTCAGAGCTAACAGTTCTGTGTGTGTTCCAACTTCGATTATCTCCCCTTGTTTCACGACCGCAATCTTGTCCGCATTCTGGATTGTTGACAGACGGTGGGCGATTACAATGCAAGTCCGGCCTGCACGGGCCTTGTCCAGTGCCTCCTGGACAACCTGATCGGAAAAAAATCCAACGAATGACCACACATACAGGAGGAGGGGTTTTATTTGAAATACGGAGAAGTATAAACGTTAATAGTATTCGTGGAAGTATCATGTTTCAGAAACAACTTCGTTTCTGCTTGATAGGATACCCCAACCTTGAAATCCATATTTAGAGAATCGAAGAAATGAGAGTGAGTTAGCTTGCATCTTTTAACATAATATTCCAGCTGTAACACCATGTGCCGGTTTGATGGGGTAGGACAGCTTGATATTCCGGAGTTCCTAAAAGTTTACCATTCTGGAGCAACACGAGAATGGGTGTTGTGCTTACAAAAGAACAGAAAATATCCCATATATGTTGTTTCACTGTCATTTGTTTCATAAATAAAGCGTTAGTGTTTATGTTCAACAATGTCAAACATGTCCATGTGGAAACAATGTTTGATAAACAAAATCAATCAAACTAAATCATGACTCACAGCCCACGACCATTCAATCACTCACCCTCTCGCTCTCTGAGTCCAGGGCTGATGTTGCCTCGTCCAGAAGAAGTACCTTGGGGTCTCGGACAAGAGCACGAGCAATGGCGACTCTTTGTTTCTGTCCACCAGAAAGTTGTGTCCCTTTGCTTCCAACGTTAGTCTCATACGCCTGGAACAGTGTGGCAGTGTTAACTTTATGGCTGAATTACTAACATGATGTTCCTGAAATATTTACTATATTTACGTTCTCCCAGGCATATCAATAAACGTACATGTAGGACACCCATGTATGTGATAAAACTCATAATCACCAGAAAGCGCTGCTTAAAGCAAGACAGTGAGTAAGTGAGTGAGTATGGTTTTACGCCGCTTTTAGCAATATTCCAGCAATATCACGGCGGGGAACACCAAAAATGGCCTTCATACAGTGTACCCCTGTCGGAAATCGAACCCGGGTTTTCGGCGTGACGAGCTAACGCTTTAACCACTAGGCTATCCGACCTCCCCTTTAAAAACTTGTATGCTATGCTGGAAATGTCACCAATGATATAGAGTTTTGTTGAGTTATACATGAACAGTATTCAAAGCACAAATTCCTGAAGTAGATCTTCTATTCCTTCCAATATCGACGTACCAGAGGTAACGATGCTATAAAGGAATGGATGTTTGACATTCTTGCTGCTGCTATTATTTCGTCCATAGACACTATACGAGAATTGTCGCCGTAGGCGATGTTCTCTGCAATGCTGCAGTCAAAAAGAGTCGGTTCCTGTGACACCAATGCTAATTGTGAGCGCCACCACTTGAGGTCCAGACTTGGGATCGGGGATTTGTCAGCCATCTGGAAATGAAACAGATACTCCTCGTCATACTCGTCAATTAAATTGTTGTACAACTGTCTTCACCTATCCCACACGCATTGGCTGCTGCCATCACAATCTCAACTACATTTGTACTATTTCCTAACCACCAGATGTCTACACTATTATCGCCAACACCACTTCTGCAAAATCGGACATAAGCAACCCAATCGCCATCTTCTCATATCCTTAATGTACAACTAACCTGATAACTAACGATACAGTTGATATACCAGTGCGTCTGTATCTGATCATGCTCTGAGAACTGAGAAAGTTATTCTGATCAAAAAGCTTGATGAACTATAGCCCACTTATTTTAGTGCATTCCACAATCAATACAGATCTTTCATTGGATCTGATAAGGATCCTTAGCCTGTCGGCATCGTAAACGTCGACGACCTCCCAAAGCAAACACTTTCAAACCCTACCCAGCACACATCACAAACACCCAGACCCACACCCAACCCGCCCTGACACACACACCACAAACACCCTCACCCCACCCAACCATGCCCCAACACACATAGCAAACACCCTCACCCCACCCAACCTTGCCCCAACACACACAGCAAACACCCTCACCCCACCCAACCTTGCCCCAACACACACAGCAAACACCCTCACTCCTACCCAACCTTGCCCCAACACACACAGCAAACACCCTCACCCCTACCCAACATTGCCCCAACACACACAGCAAAAACCCTCACTCCTACCCAACCTTGCCCCAACACACAGAGCAAACACCCTCACTCCTACCCAACCTTGTCCCAACACACAGAGCAAACACCCTCACTCCTACCCAACCTTGTCCCAACACACACAGCAAACACCCTCACTCCTACCCAACCTTGCCCCAACACACACAGCAAACACCCTCACTCCTACCCAACCTTGTTCCAACACACACAGCAAACACCCTCACTCCTACCCAACCTTGCCTCAACACACACAGCAGAAACCCTCACTCCTACCCAACCTTGCCCCAACACACACAGCAAACACCCTCACCCCACCCCACCCCTACTCCAACACACACAGCAAACACCCTCACTCCTGCCAAACCTTGCCCCAACACACAGCAAACACCCTCAACCCACCCCACCCCTACCCAAACACACACAGCAAACACCCTCACTCCTACCCAACATTGCCCCAACACACACAGCAGAAACCCTCACTCCTACCCAACCTTGCCCCAACACACACAGCAAACACTCTCACCCCACCCCACCCCTACCCCAACACACACAGCAAACACCCTCACTCCTGCCAAACCTTTCCCCAACACACAGCAAACACTCTCAACCCACCCCGCCCCTACCCAAACACACACAGCAAACACCCTCACCCCACCCAACCCCTACCCAAACACACACAGCAAACACCCTCACCCCACCCAACCCCTACCCCAACACACACAGCAAACACCCTCACCCCACCCAACCCCTACCCCAACACACATAGCAAACACCCTCACCCCACCCAACCCCTACCCCAACTTACCACGGCTCCGTGTTCTGTATTATAGAAGCGCTCGATAAGTTGTATGGTGGTACTCTTGCCGCACCCACTGCTGCCCACGAGGGCCAGAGTCTCCCCGGGCTGGACATCGAAACTCAGGCCTTTGAGAACAGTCACATTCGGCCGAGACTTGTAGCGGAACATTACGTTGGTTAAAGTGACTGCCCCACTGTAGTGATCCTACACAAACAAAATGTGGTGTTGGAATGAACTCCATAAATGCCGTAAACAAACATAACTATAATATTTCGTTTGAACGTTTGCAGATGTGACAATATGTGTGATGTGTGGGTAGGAATGATGCTGGTTAACAATTAAGGTGATGTCGAAAGTGACAAGTTCCAGAGAGTGGTACAGAAATTGCCTAAATGTATGTAATGCCTGGCCTGCACTGCCTTCCTTAAAGATCTGAGTTCGACTACGTACGTACTCAATCAACAAGATTATCTTAGGTTAAATGTTGTGAAGAATCTGTAAATGGTACAATTTAATACATTGTAATAAGTCATGTTATTCTGTTTTAATCACTGCAGACCCATGAAGATTCCGGGGTAGAATAGGTCTTCAGCAACACATGCTTGCCGTAAAAGGCGACTATGCTTGTCGTACGAGGCGACTAACGGGATCGGGTGGTCAGGCTCGCTGACTTGGTTGAAGCATGTCATCGATCCAAATGCGTGGATCGATGCTCACGATATCAGTCACTGGATTGTCTGTTCCTGACTCGATTATTTACAGACCGCCGTCTTTATAGCTAGAATATTGCTGAGTGCGACGTTAAACAACAAACAAACAAACATAATCTCTACAGTTTTATGTCTGCTTTCGTTTTGGTCTCAGAACACGGAAATAAATTTAATCTTACAAGTGTCTTTCCTTTCGACGTCTCTGTGCTGATCTCGGGCTGTCTGTCAATGACTGCAAAGAGACGTCCAGCCGCCATCATTCCTTTCGTATAATCTTGAGAGGAGGAAGTGGCTCTTCCACTTTGCTGGCCTCCAAATATGATACTTGCGAATACTCTGCAATACATAAATATAAAGATGCAACATTGGCGCCCCATGATGCTGTTTCTACATGTCGAATACGATTTCACGATACATAACATACAGGCATGGATCCTGTGATTGTAGAGATAAGTGCATGCTCCCTGACGATTTGATAAAAAAAAAGAATTTGGAGCCAGGTGAGTGAGTAAAGATGCCATTTTAGCAATATTACAGCATACAGAAAAAAACATGTGAAGAATTATACCTTTGGCTGGAGGAGCGAACGACTGAACCACAAGGGTACTCGACTGACCCGAATTGGGAGACGAACTAACAGCGTGAGGTCTCAAATGTTAAATCTATACACTATTTTGATTGTCTGTACATACAATAAATAACGTTCGATCAACTGGTCAACAAATCGTAAAGTCCTACCTGAATACTTCGAAGAACTGCATTTCCCCAATCTGCACCAAATATGCACCGTACGTAAATGCTGCTGCGTAGGCGAAAAATACGATACATTGGGAGAACCCATGGGCGATACCCCGGATGTGGGACCTCTTCACTCCAGAACTGAAAGGACAACGAGTAATATTCATACAGTCATGGATGGATAAACACTCTTGTTGGGTTAGAATTGGATCCTAGCAACCGATGCTTTTGGTTGGATGCGTCTTAATATACTGGCCGGTCAGGTCTTTATTCATTGCGTTTCTTTGTACCCCGACGGTGCGCGGCAAAGCTCATACCATCAATCACTGGTGTCTCTGCTTCAGACTAGATGACATAAAAGTTGGAATATTGCTGAGTGTGACGTTAACACCAAGCAAACAAACAAAAATCCCTCAACAATATTTCGATAAGTCAGTGGTTAATAAACACCAATGTGGTAGTTCTAACCTGGTTGTTTTGGTGTGAATGTTTCAATCATGTCCCCCACCAACTCACTATTACAATTCCTCAATGGGAAACATGGTATCATTTGATCACGGCATACAGTTTCTCCTGCCACCCACATTACTTGTGTATTCAACACAGCATTTGCTGTTTTAAAACGTTACAAATAATATACTGCCCCAAACAGTTAATTACACCTACTTGCATATTCCTGTTATTATTTCTTCATATCTGTCTATAAAAACTTTCTCTGTGTGAAGAGATGCAACAGTGCGAATGTTGGCGGTCGTCTCAGAACAAATCTGGAACAGAATCATATTCAATTGTATTTTCACAGTCACATCAGTCACATTCCATCACAACCTCAAGACATACACTTGTTTCTGTGGAGCCAAACAGTTTGGCTCCACTGGTGGCCCAGTCGTCTAAGACGCCGCGATTCGCTGTGCGCTGTGACTTGCGTCCCTTGGGCACGCCAGAAACCTATGATTTTTGGTTCTCCCCGATTATGTTTCCAGGTTTGTCAGCACTATACCCGTGCTCGTGGGTCACCGAAGTGGTAAACGTCTGAGACCTGCATCACTTCGGGCTTTCCTCCCACATTAAGCTGACACGCCGCGATATAACTGTAACGCACTCACTAAATCATTCAGATTTATCCGAAGAGTTACCGAAAAGTCAGAATGTTTAATACCTCACTGCCATCCTCACCTTTCCAGCCTGGTCAACAAATTTCTTGTCAGCGTTTGAGAATCCTTTAAATATCCTTCCTTGAATGATGCCCGCTCCTATCATTACAGGCATAAAACACAGAATGGTGAACGCCAACTTCCAGCCATATATGAAGGCAATGACCAACGAGGCAGCAATGGTTGCTAGAGCTTCGAGACCGAACCCGATCTGCGATGTAGCCTGGTGGAAGAAACAAAACCGTAAAACGATCAGTGTTTTTTTCGCCAACGTTATTTGAGTTAGTGAGTGAGTTAGGTTTTACGCCGTAGCAAACTTCCCATGATACAAAGGTGGGAGACAGCTACGGGCGTAACACATTGTCATTAAGCGACATAACTTTTTCCATATCCAATAGAATAGAATCTATAGTACGATTGCGACTATATCAGAGCATGTGTTTATGATTCACTATCAAATAGCGGTGTTCGCAAAAAGGTGAGTGTACCCTGCCCCACCGGTGGCACAAGACACAAACACATGCAAATGCAAGTCATATGTTCACCTGAAAAAACACGGGAACATATGTTACAGGTAAAAAAAATATGGATTTGTATCGGACATCATGATCGGTGATCACATCACTGAGGCGTCAAATTTGGGAATGTCCACCATCAATCTTTTTGGAAGCCTATGTTGTAACCTTGACCACACAACAGCTGAGTCTTTGAAATCTTGGTACACACGTTGGGAATCGGCGTGAAGAGCGACCTGCTAGGATAAGATGGCGTCTCCACATTGCATTTTGAAAGTATGAAGCAACCTGCAGTCTTATGACTTTAATTATGTCCTTAAGAGTTTCGTCTACGATGCATTGGGTAGGGAAGTGGCGACAAAGACACGTCCCCAACGCGGGTTCTTGCGCAGACGCACACAAAAGCACTTTTACCGACTCAACTGACGAAGTTTTAAAGTTGTATCGACTCTTGTCGATTGGATAAAATCTTTACATACTCACCGACTGAAGAACCTGTGCGTCTGCAGCTAGTCGCGTCGTAAGATAACCTACTTGATTCTTTGTGTTATCGAAAAAGTCCATGTCCTGTTTGGAAACATTATAACAGTTATGACGTAGATTGACTTTTGTATTATGTAATCTAGAAACACACATCAGTGTATGTATTATGGTATTTTCCATGTTTCACTATCAAAGTTCGTAATTGTTGATTTATTGCATTTGGTTGGTTTGTTGTTTTACGCCGCACTCAGCAATATTCCAGCTATATGACGACGGTCTGTAAATAATCGAGTCTGGACCAGACAAACCATTGATTAATATCATGAGCATCGATCCACGCAATTGGGATCGATGACATGCATCAACCAAGTCAGCGAGCCTGACCACCCGACCCCGTTAGTCGACTTTTACAACAAGCATAATCGCCTTTTACGGCAAGCATGGGTTCCTGAAGACCTATTCTACCCCGGATCTTCACGGGTCTGATATATTGGATTTAACTTATGCTTTAGGTCACATCGGCAATATTTCGGCCATATCGCGACTCTAAATGTTAAATTATGTACAGCGTTAAGGGTGAGTAGTGTGTAGTGAGTGAGTGAGTATGATTTTACGCCGCTTTTAGCAATATTCCAGCAATATCACGGCGGGGGACACCAGAAATGGGCTTCACATATTGTACCCATGTCGGGATTCGAATCCGGGTCTTCGGCGTGACGAGCGAACGCTTTAACCACTAGGCTACCCGACCGCCCCGAGTAGGGTGTAACTGTTAAGTGCGAGAGTGAGTGAGTCCGCTATAGTGGTGAAACACATGAGCACCGCAGATAAATTGATTGAGAATAAAACTTAAGTGGGGTATCAAACATGGGGTTTCGGTGTGACGGGCGAACGCTTCAGGTTACCCCACATTCCCAAATAGAATCATAGCTTAGTCTCTTACCTGGTTCACTATGGACTTGAAGGCCATACTACGTACACGAGCAGTCAGCCCAGCGCCAGACTTGGAGAAACAGTAGGTCTGAAGAATAATATCATGAACAGATACTCTCGTTGCAAGTGCTAAGTCCCCAGACAACTTACAAAGTAGAAATAATGAAAATAGATCTCCTGCAGACTGTCAGTCAACCGGGTGGTGAGGTGAGCGATTTCAATGCACTAAACATATGCATTCAACTTTATTACCATTGCAGAATTGGAGATGGTTACATGTCCTGGTGTTAATACAAGCGACAAAATCCATTTAGATAATCATAATTTACTATCAAATATAGTAGGTACATGAAGTTTGCTATTCAAGGGAGTTATTTATCATGAATATCCAACTCAGACACAGTATGCTGACTCCGAGCCTAACAGTACTTGCTTAAGTCGACTGCTTTATGGCGGTCGCCAGGCTGGGTAACCACCACCATCTTATGACGTCAAATGGTTTGATGCGGCTGGAGATCGAACCCCTGACCTTCCACTCTAATCGCGGACGCTCTACCACCAAATCCTGCAATCGATCGAAATCTTCACGACAGTTTACGAACCGGATTTCGATTTCGTTGCGCGATTTGGATTGGACGATGCAAAATTCGTTGGTCCAGCCAAAATGAAAATAATATCAGCCTAGTTCGGCAAGGGTGGAAACTATACTTGTATGGTCAGTAAACTCTCTTGCCTCGGGAAGATGGATGTTATCAGACAATACCTGACTCCAGCCAGTGAAGATAATAACTAAACTGGTTGTCTTCCAGTGATGATCTTGCAGCATGCTGAGCGCTCTTAGCCAAAAGACGGAGGCCACCTAACTGGGTGCAAATATGAAACCGTATCCGGTTATCGTAGCGCACGCGTAGCGGCCTTAATTACGAATGTAAATTAACATGGAGATATGTCTAGACATGAACAGTTTGTTTAACAATCATGGCAAATTGCTCTGCAGGTGACAATTTTGTAGTGGGCAATTCTACTTCACACAGAAACATCAAGTTCATGTGGTGCGCTCCTTGTTGTTTTTTTCGATAGCGAGGACACACGTTTATCGTCGTGTAAAGACAGAAGGTTAGAGGCATGGGACTCACCTGGAACGATTTGGCGATGGCGTTGCAGATACCCAAGGCAAACATAACACAACACATGATGGTCGTCATGCGCATCTGTTCTTCTCGATCTTGTATTCCAAAGATCTGTGTATGAGAAAACACATTTTGTTCGTGTGGTAAATATCATTGTAACATAAGGAAGAGATTTATGGAGGTCAACCTCTTTATTATAAGGAACACAACGTTTCGGAGTATATACTAACTCCTTATGTGTATCACTTCTAAATGCCTTTCAAAGACATCATTGTAACAGTTAAAACATTTGACTCACATCTGAGGAAAAAGGAATGATCAGTTTCATTTCTTACTCGAATAAACTCTGTGATCACGAAGGCAAACGCAGGCATCAACAAACCGGCGAAAGTGGCACCGAGACTGCCAAATAGCAGGAATAACCATTCAGGAGCATTAAGGCGAAGAATCCTCCTAAAACTCACTGTGGCAACCGATTCATCTTCCTGCAAATATGTTATGGTTAGTCATTATCAACTTGAAAACATAAACCTTATAGGTGTAATATACGTGTAACATAGATGTAATATAGGTGTAATATAGATGTAATAAAGATGTACTATAGGTGTGATATACATGCAATATAGGTGTAATATAGGTGTAATATTGGTGTAACATGGGTGTAATATGCATGTAACATAGATGTAATATAGGTGTAATATAGATGTAATAAAAATGTAGTATAGGTGTGATATACATGTAATATACATGTAATATAGATATAATATTGGTGTAACATAGGTGTAATATGCATGTAACATAGATGTAATATAGGTGTAATATAGATGTAATAAAGATGTAATATAGGTGTGATATACATGTAATATTGATGTAATAAAGATGTACCATAGGTGTGATATACATGTAATATAGGAGTAATATAGATGTAATAAAGATGTAATATAGGTGTGATATACATGTGATATTCATGTAATATAGATATAATATTGGTGTAACATAGGTGTAATATACAAGTAACATAGATGTAATATAGATGTAATATAGGTGTAATGTACATGTTACATAGATGTAATATACAAGTAACATAGATGTAATATACATGTAACATAGATGTAATATAGATGTAATATAGGTTTAATATACATGAAATATACATGGAATATACATGGAATATACATGTTATGCAGGTGTCATATCTTCACGGGTTGTTTGCATGTTCATGTACATGTTGGTCACCATACCAAATAGGGGATCAATGACGCTCAGTGCATACATATGACAAATAACATTAGGAAGATAGTTTGAGAAGACCAAAGAAGACAACAAGCCTGACCACCCGATCCTCTTAGTCGCCTCCCACGACAAGCACTGTCGCCTCTTCGGCAAGAATGGGTTGCTGAAGACCTATTGAACCCCGGATCTTCACGGGTCGTGTAATATAGTGTACGTACATACATATAACAATAAACATAAGGAAAAGAGGTTTGAGAAGATTATTAGCATCATGAAAATTGTCATTTAAACATCTCTTCCTTTGAAAAAATGTGCATCATACCATTTCTGTAGTCAGTGGAAATGCATGAATGTTAACGGTCCACAACCTGACCGTTAGTGATGGCACCTCAGCAGATTCTATGTAAGGGTGTAACGTAAGGGTCAACGGATCCTGTCAAGGCAAGGGCGAGCACCCCTGGACCGAGTGTCAGCACGCCTGACCATCCGAGCTCAGTGATCGGCTCGTTCGACCATACATGTTGCTGGGGATCTATTCAAACCCAGAGCCCCTAATGGGTGACCTCGATCCCGTTTCGTGATGTCCAGGGACTGAACACGATGGTCCTGTCGCTAATATTGCTTGGTGGAGCGGTCCCGGGTGATACTGTGAGGGAGAACCATTTCGGAAATAACGTATACCTCAACTATTTCTTTATCATCTTCTTTTTCAGTGTTCTTTCTTCTGCGTCCAGAGCCAGGACGCACTTTGACATGCAGGTGGCCCTTGCCTTCAGACAACGTCCTCTCGAAGGTTGGATCCAGGATGGGGTCTTCGTCATCGCTTTCATCAGAGTCATCCACTATGTCAATATCTACCATATCTGTAACACCACTGGATCATTTTAGTGTGAGAATTTTGTTCACATGCAATAAACATGTAGGAACAGTTAATGAATTGTTTTGTTTTCAGTGCTCGATACTGATATCACCTGTTCCGACATCTTACATTGACATTGATACAGAAGGCGTCATCCATAAGTCAGTCCTGTCTTCATTTATATCGCGGGTTCCAAATGCTACAAAAAGATACGTAACTCATTATCTCCACTGGCTTTTAAACAGGCGTCAGGATTCTGACTCGACTAAGGGACGCAACGCAGCTTTTGGAATTGTGGTGCCTTGGCCACTGGTCATTCATTCCAAACCGTGACTGACCACCCTGGTATGACAAATGTCATAACGCCATTTGACCCCTGGCCATAACATAATTCAAATGTACTGACAATTTCATCGATTAAAATTCTTTACACCTTTTTTGGCAAGTCGTCTAAGGCGCGGCAATTACACCCACTCCGCGTGCCAGAAACCTATGATGGTTGTTTCGACTCCCGGATCGTCCTGATAACGTTTGTTTGTTTCTGTATTGTGTGTTGTTTAACGCCGCACTCAGCACTATTCCAGCTATATGACGGCGGTCTGTAAATAATCGAGTCTGATTCAGACAATCCATTGATTGACATCATGAACATCGATCTACGCAATTGGGATACGATGACATGCAGCAACCAAGTCAGCAAGCCTGACCACCCGATCCCGTTATTCGCCTCTTACGACAAGCATAGTCGCCTCTTACGGCAAACATGGGTTGCTGAAGACCTATTCTTCCCCGGATCATTACGGGTACCTGGTGATGTGTCTAGATTTGTCATCCCGCAACCGTGCTGGTGGATTTCACCAAAGTGGTGAAAGACTGAGATCGACATGACTTCGGGAAATTCTACTACCTGAAGCTGACAAGCGTGAATGTGAATGCATATCACGGGATGCATATCAAAGCGGCGCAGAAATACACTCACTCACTTTACACATTTACTGATACTTTTACGAACCTGCATCTGTTGACTCTTCCACCCTCGTCTGTAAACAAACGGAAGTTCAAATAACAATGTCGTCCGTTAGAGACCATGAATGTTGTTGTGAGACTCTATGGTTCTATAACTTATTTTAAAATATCTCAAACTTTCTTTCTTCAATACATGTGCATCATGACGGCCTTCTACACCCTGTCATCATGGTATAAATCTTGTTGTCAAGGAAACTCACTTGCAGCGCGACTAGCCGGGCATACAGTCCACCATCTGCTATCAATTGGTCATGAGTTCCTTGTTCAACCACGTGACCATGACTAATAGAGGCAATGACGTCAGCGTTCTTAACGGTAGACAAACGATGAGCTATGACAATTGTTGTGCGCCCTCGTTCGGCCTGATGAAAACAGATAACAAATATATATCTGATTAATACGAAATATGAATACATATATGACGTTGCGTTCAATATAGCAATAGTTTATGATATATTTGTGTAAAAAATGCAAAATAAATCACAATTACTGTTTCATGGCTAAAGTGGTAACGCCTTACACCTTCACTCGATAGCTCTGCCTCATGGCCTTAATTGTAACAGGTTGTCACCTGCCGCAGAGCGCTGTACACTACTGCTTCACTTATCTGCTCTAGAGCGTTGAACCGCCTGCCTTTACTCTCAAGGTAAGATCTCGACTGCTCTACACGACAGCACCATCATCCCGATTTGCACAAGACTCACTCGCACCTGCTCAAGAGCACTCTGCACAATGGCTTCACTCTCGTGATCCAGAGCTGATGTCGCCTCATCCAGCAGCAGGATCTTGGGGTTACGAACCAAGGCCCGGGCAATTGCTACCCGTTGTTTCTGTCCGCCAGAAAGTTGTCCCCCTTGGTCTCCGACTATTGTGTCATACCCCTGTAAATCATACATATTTGACTTCAATGAATTCTAAGACTTTTATAATTTTGAAAAGATTTATTTCACACACTTTTGCGGTCATGCTAAACTGCCAAAACAGTTTAGTTTTATTCTTCATATTGGCTTCGGTATTAATATTATACAATCCTGGCTAAACGTAACTACAGGATAAAAGAAAATATACACCTTTGTCTAACGGCTACTAAATAATAAACAAACAAGAAATGGTTATGCGATTGTTTTGTATTCGGTTCGGGTATCATAGTTGGATTTTGGACCTTCAGTTTGCAATGTTTCGGTGACTGTTTTAATTCTTGTAACGTTTTATAACTTTTGTAATCATTTGTCATATCCAGTTTTTAAGTGTATTCTTTTTTTTTGTCCGGCAGTATATGAATGTGTGATGTTTTGTCGATGTTCACCTGCGGTAGCTGCGTGATGAAGTCATGGGCGTTGGCTTCTCGGGCCGCCTTCTCTATGCCTGCCTTGTCTATGCTCAGGTTGCCATAGCGAATGTTGTCAGCAATTGTGGTAGCAAAAAGCACGGGCTCTTGACTCACGATGCCGATGTGCTGACGTAGCCATCCTATATTCAGGTCCCGGGTGTTATGGCCATCGAGCAGAATCTTGGTACACGGAAGCCAACAAGAAACATCAGTTCGATCCATTGCGATGCTTATTGTACGAAAACAAATTAAATAGTCGAAGTTTTTTTTGTATTTCAATATGTGTTAGTTTACTGTTCGATATGGTTCTAGAGTTAGAGGTTTGTTTGTTGTTTAACGCCTCACTCAGCAATATTCAAGCTATATGACGGCAGTCTGTAAATAATCAAGTCTGGGCCAGACGATCGAGTGTTTGTAATCCTGAGCATCGATCCTCGCAATTATGATACGATGACATGCATCAACCAAGTCAGCGAGCCTGGCCCCCCGATCCCGTTAGTTTCCTCTTTCGACCCGCATAGTCGCCTGTTACGGCAAGCATGGGCTGCTTAAGACTTATTCTGGCCCAGACCTTAACGGGTTTAGATTTGGAGGTACTGGTAAGGGTGTCACCTCGCCTTCCTTGGGGTCATAAAATCGTTGCAGAAGCTGTACAGTAGTGCTCTTGCCACATCCACTGGGTCCAACAAGAGCCACCACCTTTCCCTGGGGTACCTTTAGGTCAAATCCCTTGAGAATCTGCAAAGTATGGCACGAAATAAAGTCTCGCAAGCGTTTGATGACAATGTACATTTGTTATTGATCAATTTAGCACATATTAATTAAACTGAAAATTATATTAGGAACAGAAATACTCCAGCTATATGACGGCGCCACTTAATTTGTTAATCGGTGTGTTTGTTTGTTTGTTTGTTGTTTAACGCCGCACTCAGCAATATTCCAACCATATGACGGCGGCCTGGAAATAATTGAGTGTGGACCAGACAATTCAGTGATTGACATCATGAGCGTCGATCCACGCAATTGGGATACGCTGACATGCATCAACCAAGTCAGTGAGCCTGACCACCCGATCACGTTAGTCGCCTCTTACGGCAAGCATAGGTTGCTGAAGAACTATTCTACCCCGGATCGTCACGGGTTCCTTTGTAATTCAAAAGCATGTAATCTTGTGTAAATATTTATATTAATAATGTTTGACTTTGAATGTAAAGGTCAGTTCGCACCCTTACTAATATTTAGTATATGTAGATATTACATATCCATTAAACGTACCTCGTCATGGAGTAAATGAAACTGCCGATACTTACAATGAATGTATACATAGTTATAGATCAAAGGAAACAGATAACACTGCAGAACACACGGGTAATGAAAGCTGATGATCTCGCATGCTATGTTACCATAAAGAAAGCAAACAATAGCGTATGAATCATAATAATTATAATTTGCTGCTGAGATGTGACAATAAGGAAAGCTGACAATTTCATATGTTTTCCTGGTGAAATTGTACCCCAGAAAATGTTGACAATATGGTCTGTCTTCCAGGTGAAATGTAACCTAAGACAAAGTTGACAATATCGTATGATTTCCTGGTGAAATGTGACTATAAGGAAAGCTGACAATATCACTGTGATTTCCTGGTGAAATGTTGCTGTAAGGAAAGCTGACAATATCACTGTGATTTCCTGGTGACATGTAACCCACGAGAAAGCTGACAATATCGTATGACTTCCTGGTGAAATGTTGCTATAAGGAAAGCTGACAATATCACTGTGATTTCCTGGTGACATGTAACCCATGAGAAAGCTGACAATATCACTGTGATTTCCTGGTGACATGTAACCCACGAGAAAGCTGACAATATCGTATGACTTCCTGGTGAAATGTGACCATAAATAAAACTAATAATACCGTGATTGTTGACTATTAGATAAGTAACACAAAATATATTACGAACTCAGAAGACACAATGGATGTTTTGAATGACGTGAATCAATCTTCCTGGGACCCAAATTGCAATGGACTAAAGCTGTTCCATTTAACAGGTATCAGCATGAAGACTGCGACATTAAGATACCTGTGTGTCCGGCCTCGTCGGGTAGGTAAACCCTACATTCCGGAACTCTATGTCTCCCATCACTGCCTGTGGTTTAAGACCCTCGTCCGATGAACTATCAATAGTAGGCACATTGTCTATGATGCTGAAGACCTTCCCTGCGGCTCCCAAGGAGTTGGAGAAGATCTCCATGTAAGGGAAAGCCATGCCCAGAGACGTTGATCCAATCATTATGTTGATAAATATCTGTAACACATATAGATTATTTTTGCTGACATTTTCTACCTTAATTTTTTCTACATGTGTGGTAAGCTTTTCTCTTGAGGAATAGAGGTGAAGAGCTGTATTTGGAATTTCTTTCATTACCCTTCAACCATGCTATGGTGTCATCTGATGCACTTTATTATTGTAACCACTGAAATATTCTTTAGACTTGGGGCGGTTGGATATGTTGGTTTAAACAATTACTCAACCACAGTACATGAATATCAGGCTTTTGGATCGATCAAAACACGTTATCTAAACATTTAATGTTTCTAGGCACATTTTTCAAGTGAGGTGAGGGTAGAACATTTTTCTATCCTCATTTTCGTTCCACCAAGAACAGCAACTAACACAACAACGCACACACTGAACTCGGCTAGGTGATATAAAGTCAGCTGTCAAGCATCGATAACACTCTATTTGTCCAAAAAATAACAAGTCTTCTTTATAATGCTAACGCTATGATACCTACGGGGAGTATAACGCCGGGGTCCAAGCTTTCAGTCTGGAGAAGATAGACGCCATACCAAAAGCTTACAGCAAAGTCGATGAAAACGATTATCCAGAAAACACTCATCGTCAATCCAATAGCCAGGCCCTTTTTAGCTGCCATGCTTTTCGCCTCGATGAGGTTATCATCGTACCTTTGGAAGAGAGTTTAAATACTATAATTGCACTCAAGGATATCCATATGTCATCAAATTAAATATTGACGTGGTTTGTTTATGTTTATGTTTACGAAGACAGGTGAGATGTTTCATACATTTCAAAGAAGCCAAACTGACTACATTTCAAATGTAAAGACATTTAGTCAGGTTTTTTGGTTTTGTTTGTTGTTTAACACCGCACTTATCAATATCTTAGTCAGGATTAGTCGCTGTTCCTCACAATGTCCTTGTTTATTACATTTAACAGATGTAAAACTGTTTTATTGTTGTTTTTGTTTGGGGGTGGGGGGATAACAAATACGAAACAGTGGTTCTATTTGACATGCAATTTGATGCTTGGTTTGTCAACAGCATACCTGTACCCGTTGGTGTCACAAAGAGGTAAACCTTTAAGTCATCAGTGAGATTGTTGTTAGTGACAGGATATTATGTCCAATTGCGTGGATCGATGCTCAGGATGTCAATCACTGGATTGTCTGGTCCATACTCGATTATTTACAGACGGCCGTCAAAGAGCTTGAATTTTGCTCAGTGCGGCGTTAAACACTAAATAAACAAACTACAAGCATGTGTCTGGTGTACATACAAACACAATCAGAGAGAACCGCGCCACGCACCTGCTGCACTCTTTCTCCTGTCCCTGGAAAGCATGCACTGTCCGTATGGAACCAAACACCTCCTGCGCCACAGCTCCTGCCTTAGCGTACTTCTCTGATTCCTGCTTCGTAACATTCCGAGCATACTGAAATATGAAGGACATGGACGCAATGAAAGAAAGGAGAGACGGTACATATAAAGTGAAACAAACGCAAGCAAACAATACATTTACATACATTCTTGATTAACACCTGATGAACATGTCTGTCTATATTAGATTTGAATAAAAAAAAGCACTGATGTCAATCGTAGGATTATCTCGTCCAGACTCGATTATTTATACATCGCCATCATATAGCTTGAATATTGCTGGGTGCGGCGTTAAACAACAAACAAACAAAAAGACAAAGCAAAGACTTACTCCAATGATGGCTCCAGATATGAGAATAATAAAGGGGCTGAATGACAAGGCGACGAGCGCCAGCTTCCAGTACAGGACGATGGAGATAATTACAGAGGCCAGCCAGGTTGCCAGCCACTGGACAAATATCGCCAGTTTGTCTCCCATCCCGCTATGGATCTGCAGCATATCCCTGAAGATATATATATATATATATATATATATATATATATATTGAGAAAACGTGTGTTATATCTATATTGGAGAACTAGTATTTGAGTTTTGACCGTCATCGTGAAACAAGACATTGTTATGTTTAAGAATAACATTAAAATTGTTCGTATTTAAAGAATAAGACCTATTCTGAGAATTTACCAACAAGGATTGAGAAAGAAGTACTTTTCTATAAATATAAGCCTCCCGGCTATGCGGTCAACAAATCAACTGTTTCAATCAGAACTGTTTATGGGTATTTAAAGTTTCTGAGTATCGGGATCGGGTATTTTCTAAATTCATGGTGGAATAGTGAGTGGTTGAGTGGATATCGTTTAACGCCGCTTTTAGCAATATTCCAGCAAAACCACTGCGGGGGACACCAGAAATGGGCCTCACAGATTATACCCATCTGGGGGATCGACCTCGTGTCTTCGGCGTGACGAGCTTTAAGCACGAGGCTCACCACCCGTGGTGGAGTAAAATCTTTTTCAAGGATGGGGCACTGGTCGTTCGTTAGTCGTGCGAAAAACCTCTGAATCCCAGGTGCGCCCTGATTATGTTCCCAGGTTGGGCAGCACCATACCCGTGCTCGTGGTTTGAACCAAAGTGGTAACCGTTACTTCTGGCATTCTACATCAAGCTGACGCTCCGTGATATAACTGAAATAATGTTGAAAGCAGCGTTCAGCCCAGCCACTTACTATAAAGAAGAAAACTTACTCTGAGAACCTAGAACTCAACTCCCTCAACTACCCAATTCATCCAGCCACTTACTATAAAGAAAAAAACTTACTCTGAGAACCTGGTACTCAACTCCCCGCTCTTGTGAATGTCGAACCAGGGGATGTCTTGTTTCATCACAGATCGATAAAAGTGGACCCGGACCTTGTGAATCTGACGTTCAGAGGTCCATGACCACATGGCGACCCCCAGGTAACTGGTGACCAAGGCCACCACTCCAAGTACAACAAATATGATGGCGATTGATGAAGTTTGTTCAACTAAATTTGCATACGGATTTGTCACATTTAGGCCAGTCACGCTGAAAACGAGGTTCAGGAAAATATATGGTTAAATATAGTTTTTAAAGTTTATTAAACTAAAAGAAAGTTTGATGTTTTGCAATTGAAAATTTAAAAAACTGTTGTTAAATTTGACCATCTCTCATTCCAGTAATAGTTTGTAAAAAGTAATGTGAGGCTCGATACTTGTCTGTAAAAATAAATTGGTTCAATGACAAACTGGGGTTAGAAAGGAATTTGCAAGCACAAGACCCCAACCATGTTTGAAATGTAAATTTGTGTCGAAAAAAGCACATTAATTGATTTTCAAAGATAAGATATCGACGATACCCATCAGCTGTTATGTATTATGCGAAAATTATTTTTCATTTTTAAAAGTTTCAAAGCAAATAATACTTAAGAAGAATATATAATACCATATAAAAGTATTCGTCGTGTGCTGACTAAGCGCGAGTAAATTCCATTTGTTGGATATGATAATAACCAAATATATTTTCAATTGAAAATCAAATACATGATAAAATCAACTGAGAGGCATGGTTTCGTTTGCCCCTCAAATTGGTTAGTTTGTTTGTTTGTTGTTTAACGCCACACCCAGCAATATTCCAACTGTATGACGGCGGTCTGTAAAATTGACTTGGTTGAGGCTGGGACGGGTGAACCTTGAAGATCCGGGGTAGATTAGGTCTTCAGCAACCCATGCTTGCCGTACGAGGCGACAAACGGGATCGGGTGGTCAAGCTCGCTGACTTGGTTGATGCATGTCATCGATCCCAACTGCGTAGATCGATGCTCATGATGTCAGTCAATGAATTGTCTGGTCCAGACTTGATAAGTTGCAGACCGCCGTATTGCTGAGTGCGGCATTAAACAACAAACAAACAAACAAACCAAACAGCAAACTGAGAGTCACCGTCATATAGCTGGAGTATTTCTGTTCCTAATGACATTTTCAGTTTAATTAATATGTGCCAAATTGATCAATAACAAATGTACATTGTCATCAAACGCTAGCGAGACTTTATTTCATGCCCGTGATTGATTTCATGAGCTTCGATCTACGCAATTGGGATTCGATGACATGCATCAACCAAGTCAGCGAGCCTGACCACCCGATCCAATCAGTCTCCTCTTACGACAAGCATAGTCGCCTGTTACTACAAGCATGGGTTGCTGAAGACCTATATTCTAACCCGGATCTTCACGGTAAGAGGCGTCAAAAAGGTTCGGGTGGTCCGACTCAATGATTTGGTTCATTGCGTGTCACTGTACCCCGCCGACATTGATCGGAACAATAAAAAAATCAATTATTTTTATTTCAATACCTCAAGCCCACCCAGAATGTCAAACGGTCGGTCCCTTGCTATTTTTAGTTTAAGTGTAATTAAAGAATTGTCTTCAAAATGTTTGTGTTTATAGAAGTGAGTGAGTATGGTTTATCGCCGCTTTTAGTAATATTCCAGCAATATCACGGCAGGGGACACCAGAAATGGGCTTCACACACTGTACCCATGTCGGGAATCGAACCCGTATCTTCTGCGTGACGAGCGAACGCCGCCCCCCAACACTAATAACTTCACTGACTGAATTGTTAATCATCAACACAAAAAAACTGTAGACAGCAGTACGAAATCAGTTACTTTACTTCAGGGCAATACTACAAAACAAGCCCCGCCCAATCTATTGCCAGCCAATAATCCGTTAGTGGGCGTAGCCTATTATTCGTTTTATGGAAACATTTAAGCAAACGAATGTGCTTGGTAAGCCAATTAAATGTCACAAAACAAATTCCCATGTATTAATATGAATAAAATCGCACTTGTTTGAACTGGTACCGCCGACAAAGAGTGTGATGACTTGTCCGTAGAAGATGAGGTTTAACGGTAACACTGTGCCTGCTGCCATTGCCGCCAACGTTCCGATGAACATCATAATAGCGTCCTGTTTATCAGTGTAGCGGAACTGAAGAACAAATGACTTCACTGACATATGCATGCTCAAATTACAAAATTGCTACATATTCAGAGCTGTATCGTTAACATAATGAGTGAGTTAGGTTCTACGCCGTAAAGAGTGAGTGAGAGTGTATGGTTTTACGCCGCTTTTTTAGCAATATTCGAGCAATATCACTGCTGGGGACGCCCGAAATGGGCTCCACACATTGTACCCGTGCGGGCAATCGAACCCGGGTCTTCGGCGTGACGAGCGAACGCTCACACCACAAGGCTACCAGACTTTCAGAAGTATCACGGCGGTTTAGATTAGAAACCCAGGAGACACGTTGGTAGAAGTCGCTTGCCAGTTTGATGAGTGAGTGAGTGAGTGAGTTGGATTTAACGCCGCTTTTAACAGTATTCCAGTTATATCACGGCGTGTCAGCTTAATGTGGGAGGAGAGCCCGAAGTGATGCAGGTCTCAGACGTTTACCACTTCGGTGAAACCCACGAGCACGGTTATGGTGCTGACAAACCTAGAAACATAATCGGGGCGAATCGGGATTCGAACCCTTTATCATAGGTTTCTGGCGTGCCCAAGGGACACAACTCTGCACAGCGAATCGCGGCGCCTTAGACGACTGGGCCACCCGTGCCCCCGCTAGTTTGATGTAACCCACAGGCACAGATCTGTGATGGCAAACAAAGGATCACAATCAGGCGACATCTGTTATTCGAACCATCAAACCCGTATCCTGGCACGTCCACTGGACGCACAGAAGATTTTAGTGGCATGCACTCGAAGTTGTGTTGAATCTGCATCGTTGAGGTCAGAGCAACTTCAGTTTACGCTTCATTCTTTTGTCAAATCCAATTTTCATCCGTGAAGATCCGGGGCAGAATAGGTCTTCAGCAACCCATGCCTGCCATCACTGGATTGTCTGGTCCAGACTCTATTATTTACAGACCACCGTTATATAGCTGGAATATTGCTGAGCGCGGTGTGAAACAACAAACAAAGCAACCTCTTTAGGTACAACGCTGACAGATGAAGCGAAGCACCTACCTTCGATATTTGAATTGGTTGGTTGGTTTGTTGTTTAACGCGTTGTTTAATTGATATCGTGAGCATCGATCCACGCAATAAGGATCGATGACATATTGGAGATGACGTTCTACCCCTTATATCAGGAAAGAACTACTACGTTTAGGAAAGGTTCAAAGAAGCGCCGCGGTCAGCAATATTCCAGCTATAGGACAGCGATCTGTAAATAATCGACCAAACAATCCAGTGATTGATATCATGAGTATCGATAAACGCAATTAGGATACCAGGACATGCATCAACCAAGTCAACGTTAGTCGCCTCTTTCGACAAGCATAGTCGCCTTTCACGGCAAGCATGCATATGGGTTGCTGAAGACCTATTCCACTCCGGATCTTCACGGGTCTACTCTCTTTGCAGAGGATATTATTACTTATGGAAACTAGTATTATATTATATAAAATCTCCTCTCGATGGATGGATGAGTGCTGAAAGTATCCTACAGGCCACCCATGTACTCACTCATCCTTCATGTGTTAAATATACCTCTTTTACGTGTAACTTCCCCCCGATCCCGCCAGTCGCCTCAAATCACTAAAACATAGGTAACCAGGTTTGGGGTGGCACATTCAAGGTTCGAAATCACTATTACCTAGAATCATTCGCTTATTCTAATACATATATTATCAGTTCAAAACTCTCCTATCTGCAGCTATAGGATCTGCAAGCATTCCTTCATTGATAACAAATATACTAATGTCAGGAAACAAACATCTACTCACCAACTGAAAATAGGATATTTTCTTATCCTCATCACCGTCCTTTGATTTGTCATCTTTGGAAGTCAGTTTCCCATCGGACGCTGTGGTGTCCTCTATTTGCAGAGTTCCATTACCAGGCGCTGCCTTGTCAGTTTCACTCGAGCTAATGTTTATAGCAGCGTCGCCGTTTGACGTGTTGCCGTTGTGTTTCAGTGAGAGTTGTGGTTCTTGGGACTTAGGTTCGACCGGCATTTTGTTCACTGTGGATCACGTCGTCGCTAAATGCCAGATGTGTTATACCTTTTATTCAAACTTGTGTTGTTAGTAATACATTTCCGTTTGATAATCACAAAACTTTGTTGATTCCACTGTTTGAAGCCTGCAAATATAAATGCATGAGCAATAACGATTTAAACTAACATTGTCAGAATCGACACGCTCATGTTCGCTCTAAATAATATCATTATCACTGGAACGTTCGGGAAAGTGAGCTATAGTCGTTCAATAAACGAAAACGGAGATCAAAGCAATAGACGCACGCGAAACATAATGACGTCACCAAATTCGGGCATGACAGTCGATCATTCGTCACCACTCGCCTCTTTCCGTAACCTGCAAGAAGACTCGTCCCCCTACCGATGAATGTTATGTGCGAAAATACGACAAACCAATCAGAACGCGCGTATGATTTCAAGTTCTTCGTCAAAGAATCCCTCAGAAATAATTTTTGATTTTACATATGTCTTGCATCTAAAAATATACCCAAGGCACAGTCAAATGTGTTCAATCATACTGTATAATTCCGCATGTCCAGATGTGCTTTAAATTGCATCTGAAATATATATAATATATGGGGAAATATATGTGAACCATAACGCGACGAGTTGACAATTATTTTAGGTATGCCCGTTTGCGCTAAGACGGAACACGGTCGCAAAAATGGCCATGAGAGGGGCACGAGTCGCTATTCGGCTTGTCCCGGAATAACACGAGTTGGTCACGAATGGACAGTCGATGTCGAGCAAAGGAGGCAAAGACATGCTCATTAAACAATAACAGTATTTCAACTAAAAGTGATTACAAAGTTTGAAACTGTGAGGTACGTAGATCCTTAGGAAGCTGATTATGACGAATTGCAAGAAAATATGGATTTGATGCAAAACCAAGTCGAACGCAAACTACTTCCGGTTTAGCGAAACCACAAATATAAGTAACATACGAAAGTATCCACACAAAACAGAAGTATGTGAAATGTCTTAAAGATACCATTAACTATATACATTTCATCTGAAAATGCACACATTCATGCCATTATGTATGTTTGCTGTACGATATCTATGTCGTAAACTAGCTAGTTAGATGCACTGATGTTATAAGAAACAAAGTATGCACGTCCCATGTGTGGAATAATAAAATATAGTCATTGCCATGACCTATTATAGCTGAAGCACGAGGATCATTTATACATCCGTGGTTGTCTTCCGTCTTGAGACATGAAGTTTATGTACTGTCGGCTCCTTGGATAAATAAAAGCGATAAAACATATTTATATTTATTTATATTTATATTCATACTCCGCTAACAGGAGAGTCGATTGTACGTTTCCGACTACGTCATGAGCATGTGTTCATGAATCACTGTCACATAGTGATGATGCATGTCTTCGCACCAAAGCATACGATTTACAGTACAAATATATGTGCCTGCACTTGTCCGGGCTAATGTCACAGTGTCAGTGAGATACCATGCCGCAGTTGATCATGGATACCCTTCAAACACAGTATCCTGACTCCGAGCCGACTAGTCCTTCTTTTATTCCCCCATAATAATGAACTTGATAAGCATACACGCCCATTTCACGCTCACCCGAAAATTGATATTTACTACAAAAAAAAACAGACACACTGTGACGAAACTTGCAGAAGACCATCATGGGCATCCCAGTCGACGTTTGGAGAGCCAGGATCCGAAGATTTGTGCCCCCGAAAGGTGTGAGACAGATCGGAACTGTGTTACCCTACGACCCGACTTGTGAGTGGACACCGACCATGGACACAGCTTACAGGATTCTACTATGTGGATCGCTAATTCTCACAGTAGCATGTGCTGGATCGTTCTTAGGATGTTTTGTGCATAATTTGGAGTTTTCATGGATTCCACCAGCGTCTTTGTGTCCGAAAGGAATCTTGTGCGATCAATCCTCATGTGTGACGTCACCATTGTTTACATGGCGAATTCAGGCGACACTCGACTTGTATACCGTCCCAGGTATGACTATCTTCCCATCAGTGATTCACCTAGCCGGAGACGTCGAATTGAACCCAGGTCCAGCTGGTAAGGAATTAGAGGATATGAAATCGGCTATCATGAGACAAATAAAGGAATCAGAGGAAAGGCTGTCAAAAGATATACACTCGATGAAGAAGGATATAGAATATCTGATGTCGAAAGTAACAGATCTGAAGAAAGAGGTCAAGAACAGTGCAGCGGAACAAGAGATTTTACGACTGGACATCGATACACTCGTAGAAAGAACTGATCGTTTGGAGGATTATGTTGGTGTTCTTGAATCTCGTGTCGAGGACCAGGAGCGAAGAGGTCGACGTAACAACGTGGTGTTGTACGGAGTACCTGAGGTCGAGGGACACAAGGAAACCTACACAGAAAGTAAGAACAAGGTGCTGGAAATCTTGAACGAAGCAAGGAGAACAAAGGGTCTGACTCCGCTTGTGCTGAGACATTGAGAGGGCCCACCGTATTTCCTAAAAAAACTCCAATGAAACCAGGCCTATAATCGTGCGCATGTGCCACTGGGAAGACAAGTGGCACTCAGTGAAACTTAGGAGTGTACTGAAACAGAATGGGATAGGAATCGCCAATGACCTGTCAAACCAACAGAGACAGGAACTGTACAAGCTTCGTAGTGAGAACCCTAACACTAGATACTACTACAAAGGGAATAAGCTCGTCGAGGAACCTAAGGAGGACAGTGTACAGAATTCACAGGATAATATCACCCAGCAGGACAAACCTCCCAGGCGACAGCTTAGATCCTACTCTCACGCTGCCTCTGGGGGACAGTCGAGCTAGGGGTGTGGTCAGGGCCGAGTAAGAGACAATGTACATACTTCTAGTGATTGTAGGACGCTTCATCAAGAATCTGTGGACCTATTTGACAATCAACCTGTAAGTAAGGAAAATCTTGTGAAATTTATATTTTGGAATATTTCTGGAATATGGAGTAAATTAAGTGACTCTGACTTCTGTAGCTATGTACAAAACTTTGACATCATTGGAATTACAGAAACATGGTGTAAGGATCTCAATTTAGGTAATGTTTTTTCAAAATTATGAAATCATTAACAAAGAGGCAGATAAATTATCATCTTATGGCAGACTTTCTGGTGGCATTTTAGTTATGGCTAGGAAAGAATTGTCTAAATATGTAAAATGGACAAAAATTTCTGAAAATGCAATTTTCCTACTATTTGACAAACAACTTTTTGGAACAGAATTAGATTTGCTTTATGCTTGTGTGTACATACACCCAGAGAGTTCCTCGTGGTATGATAAGTTCAGTTCTAATTGCACAAATGGTGTCACTCTTTTTCAAGAGAAACTACTTACAATATTATCAGAATTTGATGATGTACATGTATTATGTGGTGGTGATTTCAATGCCAGAACTGGAACTAAATCTGACTTTGTTGAAGATGACATAATAGAGTATACTGAAAACCATAATTACTTCATGTCTGATCTTATATCGGATTACTTCAATCTTGAACGCTTTTCTCTAGATAGAGTTTTAAACAGCTTTGGAAAATGTTTAACTGATTTATGTTCAGTTCTGAATATTCATATCATGAATGGAAGATGTGGTAGAGATAAAAATGTCGGTGACTTTACTTTTATTGGTGTAAATGGTACCAGTGTAATTGACTATATTATAGCCTCTTCTCCATTATTTGACAATGTTGCAGACTTTGGTGTAGAATCTCGCTCAGATTCAGTTCACCTTCCAGTTACTATGACATTAAGAGTACATGAAACACACCAACCCCCAAAACAAAGGAATGATCAGGCTACTAAATCTTTCAAGTTTGTCTGGGATATTGACAAATCACAAAATTTTAGAGATCAACTCTTTTCTGACCAAGTTCAAGATTTACTTGATAAATCAGTAAACACAGCATTGTCCAATATTGATGTAAGTATTAATTACTTAGTGGATGCCTTGAAATTAGCGGGCTCAGACATGCAAAAAAAGGTTAGAAATCCAAAGCTTAATCAATTGTGTAAATGGTATGATGCAGAATGTGAGGGTCTTAAAAAGAAAAGATGTAGGGCACTCAATAAATTCAGGAGATGTAAAGATAAGGACTCACTTAGAGAATATCATAACATAAGAAACAAATATATAGCTGTGTGCAAAGAAAAGAAACAAGAATATTTACATGATAAGCAACAATCCTTAGAAAATAACATTCATGACTCTAAACTATTTTGGTCAGAACTGAAAAGTCTAAGCAAACATCAAAAGGCAAATAATATCAACATTAAGGATTGGTACATCTACTTTAAAGAATTATTTACTTTCACAGATACTGATCAGAGCCCTGAAAATCAGTTCCAGGAGTCACAAGATAATATTCAGACTCAAACAGATACTGGTTTGCAAATGATATACTGGATTCCCCTATTACCAGAGATGGGATTTTAGAGAGTTTTCACAATCTTAAATGCAACAAATCACCAGGAATGGATCAGATTATTCCCGAGTTTTTTAAACATTCCTCAGATATCATTGTACCTTACCTTGAACTTATATTTAATGTTATATTAGAAAATGGAACATTTCCAGATGCATGGTCAATAGGGATAATTGTGCCAATACATAAACAAGGTGATCTAAATAATATAAACAATTACAGAGGTATTTCACTGCTAAGTATATTTGGTAAACTATTCACAAACAATAGTTTTAATAAATAAAAGGTTAGTGTTTTGGGCAGACACCCTCAACAAAATCAATGAAGAACAAGCTGGATTTAGAGAGGGCTATTCAACTATTGACAACATTTTTATCCTTCAAGTTTTAGTAAACAAATACCTCAGTGTCAAGGGTGGGAAACTTTATGTGCTCTTCGTTGACTTTGCCAAGGCATTTGACTCAGTGCAGAGACATAAACTATGGAACCTTTTAAGATCACATGGCCTCAGCTTTAAGATGAACAAACTATTGGGTAGCATTTACGAGAATATTAAGGTGTGTGTGCGAAACAATAATGAGATTTCAGAAACATTTATTAGTCAGTTAGGAGTAAGACAAGGATGCATCTTAAGCCCATTTCTCTTTACTTTTTTCATAAATGAACT